ATGTTCATATCCTTGAAGATGTATCATGGGGGTGTTGCAACCTAGAAGACACAAATTTGACTAACAAGTGGTGAATTTCTTTTTCTTTCTAGGCCATCCCACCAATCGCAGGGAGGCGGCGTATCGAGGTAGAAGCAGGAGTGGAGACAGACTTTTCCAGAACCACCAGGAGTACCGCCCTGTCACTCCGGAGCCTCTCCTGAGGTCTGGCACCCCCAACCCCAGTGCGAGCCTCGGTGCGGACGACGTGGCTGTGGAGGCTCTCACCTACAAGTTCAAGCATTTGGGGAGCCAGGATGGGTCTGTGCCCTTCCCGTTCTCCCCCAAGGCCACCACTGCCGCAGGCACTGGGCAAATGGGGGCAAACCTCAAGTTCCCAGAGAGTAGCAGCCAAGAGGGCCTCTTCAGTGAGAACCAAGGTGGCTCTTGTGGTGGGTCAGCTTTGGCGGCCTCCTCCTGGATGAATGGCCAAGACAGTAAGAGAGACAGCTTGTTTTCTTCGAGTTCAGCTGCCACCTTCCCTCCGAAAAGCCCGGATGTGCTTTCCTCGAATGGCATCAACACCGGCCTTGAAAACAAAAAGCACTTCTCCCTTTTTGACAGTACCATTGACGGAATGGCCACTGATCTGTCTTCCATGGGAGCTGTGAGTTACAAGACCACAGCCAGTAGACAGAGAGAAGGATTGATATCCGGGAACCAGGCCACTGGTGCCGGGAGTGGCCGTCCAGTCGTCACTAGTGAAGGTTCCGAAGATGATATCTTTATGAATAATTTAATGTATCCGAAGACATACTGGTCTACCAGCTATGGCCACAGCACGGTGAACGATTCTAAGAAAACACCATGTGAAACGTCAGGTGCAGATGCCACTGGTGCCTTCAGCTTTGGCTTAAGAGAGGAAGAAGGTGTGTTCCCCACTGGGGGTCAGAGTCCGCGAACCCAGGACCCTTGTGCTGTGCCAGCCGTGCCGCCTTCCTCAAGCTGCAGAGCGTCAGCCTACGGGACTGGTGGCCTTCCTGCCGCCGGGAAGGTCCACGACTCCACGCTGTGTAAGTTCTGGTAGGAAAAGGGGGCCCTTGTCTCACATGAGCCACAATGAACCATAGGCATCTTTTTTTTTTTAAAATTTCTTATTTTATTATTTTGTATGTGTGTACCGTCAAATTGAATCTGACAGGTACAGGAGGAGATTGTCCCTTCTTCTCCAGCAGAGCATCTGGTGGATTCGAACTGTGCACCTCTGGGATTGCAGTGCAGCTTCTTGCCAGTAGGCCCCCAGAACTCCTGAACCATAGGCATCCTTGAACCGTGCCCAGCTTCAGAGATTCTCTCCTTGGGAGAAGCTGGGGAATCTTGGTTTTTGATGGAAGCACTGATTGATAATCAGCATAAAGTCTTGGAGTTGGAACAGACTCCTAGCGGAGCCTCCAGTGGGTTTTCAGAGGCCGTGACACAAGATTGCCCATCTTTCTCCTGTGGAGAGGCTGGTGGATTTGAACCCTCAAAGAGGTGCCAGCTTTGAATTAGCAGTGTGGCTTTCTATCCACCACACCACCAGAGCTCCCTGCTAATCAACATGTTGTTAGATGCCATCGAGTTAAATCCAACTCATAGCAACCCTACGAACGACAGATCTGAACCCGGTGCGATCTTGATTGTCTCTGACACGCGTGAGCCCATTGCTGCTGTCACTGTGTCAGTCTATCTGGTTAAAGATTTTCGTCTCCTTCGCTGCCCCTTCACCTTTCTTAGCATGATGTCTCTTTCAATAATCAGCACAAGCACATGCTTCTTTGTTTTGTAGATTCCATTTCTGATGCTATCAGTACCCGGTGTTCCAAGCCCAACGACGAGGACGCAGAAGAAATTTGTCCTGAGTATCTGGAAAACCGTTGCCAGTTAAATAGTGAGTGCTCTAAGGAATTTCTATAATCAGAAACAGATAAAAATGAGAACAAGGTGACCAGTATATTCACTGAACATTTATTGTGTGTCAGGTGCAATGTTTCAAGTATCTCATCAACCCTGGAGGGAGAAACTGTGGTTAACCCATTTTACAGACGTGGAATCTTGAGGCAAACAAAAGTAGTCAAGTTGGGTTTTGACCTTAAAATGTCCAGTCAGTCTGTTCTTCATCGGTGTTCTTGAAATGCAGTCATAGGTGTAACATTGCACTCAGGGACATTTGTTACCACATACCAAGAACACACAAGTGAATCAATAAAATCAGAAAAGTTTTTTAAAGTACTTTTTGGGTCAGCATAAATACAGCAAAGCATAAACCATTTCAGCATGCGTGGGACACAGAGCTGTCTGTCCCCTCAGGCACAGTTCAGTAACATAGATTATTTTCCTCAATTTGTGTGACCATTCTCGCCCTTTTTTCTAATTCTTCTTCCTCCATTAACATAAATAAGTTCACTGCTCTGAACTTGCTCATCTAACTTTTCCAGTTACTGTTGTTTATTTGGTTCTGGACAGATAGTTCTTTAAAAGAGAACAATACTTTAAAAAAAAAGGCACAAGGTAGTCATTTTTGACTGCTTAAGCATAGACTGTTGTTTGGATTGAAAAATATTCCAGGAGGTAGTTTTGCTTTAAAGTGGAAAGATTATCTCCTGGTGATGGGTTTGGAAGTTCTTTGAGCCTCCATTCCTCCAGAAAGTCTGAATTCCGCGAGAATCCGAAAGTCTGTGCCTCAATTCCGCCTCCCTTTTGGTCAGTCAGGATTCTTCTCCATTCAGTCCTGATATCCAGGCACCCTCTAGTTCTGCTGTCATGGCAACTGAGGTCGGTGAAGACAATTAGCCTTATATTTTTTCTTTTCTCCTTACACTATTCCTGACTCTCCTTATTTCTCCCAACAAAGATTTTGAAAGTTTGTTTGCTGATATTATTTAGAATGAGTAACTCTTCTGGACCATTGGGCTCCTAGCAGTTGCTTCTCACTCTATCCTGTTTGTCACTTGTTCACCATCCCCTCCTGTCAGCTTCCTGTCTTGTGTGTAACCGGCTCACCAACCCCTCATGCCAGCTTCCTTTGGAAATGGACCATGCATTGGACATAGTGCTGTCTGTCCTCTCACCTCTTCTTACCGTTCACGGCTGTCCCCAGCTGAGCCCTCACATCTGACAGTGTCCCCCAGCAGTCTTTGATGAGTTGGCTGTATCTGTCAGTAGGAAGGCTCTGTGCCCTATGTAATTTAAAAATCTTTTCCTTCTTCAAGCAGCATTTTTATACATTATCGTTGCTCATTTTTATTGTTAAAAATGCAGTAATTTTATCAGCTACCAAAAAGTTAATACATTTGTTTAAAAAAATTCACCAGTGACGCTAACAGTCTGCTAAAAAGGTCAGTTTGGGCATTTTTGTTTTCCTTTTTTTCTAAAAATTTTTTAATTGTAAAATTGGGCCACAACTATATACAGTTTTGCCTCTTGTTTATGTCTTTCTTGTATTCTGTTTTGTTTTTTTTTTGGCTCAGTACAGTGTACTTTATTGATGGTACATGACAAGATGGGCTCGCCAAGCCCCTCCCCTTTCTCAGGGGGATTTGATGGAAACTTGTGTCAAGGATGTGAGATTCTCAGTGTGTGGGAGGATCAGGTTGGGGCAAGGACTCCCCAGCAGCTGAGGGTCTCTCTCTCTCTTCTAGT